ATTCTAAGCTCTTTGTCATAACTTCTCAACCGTTGGTCCAAAATTCATAAAATTCAAAACATCCCTTTACATCTAGCGGAGCATGTTGAGTCGAATGATGTCTGATATTCCCAGGTCAGTCATTTTGGCTGTCTGCTATTTTTAATTGTCAAAAATTGCTATATTTAACGGACGCATTGGGAAATAATGAAAGTCGTACCTGAAGTGCTCAAAATGGTTTTATCCGCACGTTATAACGATATTTCTAAAAATGCTAATAACTTTTGACTAATTTTGCCTATTATTATGAAACTTGTCTTGATACATTCCTTGGGTTGTCCTGAAAATGCCGATACCAGTTAACATTATACCTCAGTTAACTGAACTTCCTGTCCGCCAAAATTTTTTAAATGGCTTTTCAATAGTTTTGTCTGTTGTCATGAGACTCTGGCAGATTCGTTGTATCATTGAGATGTGATCATTGATATAATTTATTCCCTAATTGGCACAACTTCCTTTCCACCATCTTAAATTGGTTTGAAAATCTGTTGTTTTGAACTCTTCATAGATCATTAGCCCAATTTCCACCAAATTTGGCACAGAACATGCTGCCAAAAAGTGAAAGAATTTTCCAGTTGCTCTGTAGCTTGTTAGGGTGCTTGTTTATGATGTGGCTGCTGGGCTGCTTCGCCCCAATAATTGCTGCGTGCAGCTATATTTTTCTGTGATGCCGTCACTAATGGGTGTCTTTGTTAGCAGAGATTATTTTGTGTAAGTATTAAAAGTAACTGCAAAGACATAATTTCAAATAAATGTGCTTTTTGACTTTGTTAATCAAAATATCTATTATGGTTTTCACAAAACTCCAGTACAGCTGTTTTTACCATTGATGGCAAATGTTTCTAACCATATAATGCATTACATTTCATTAAAAATCATACTCAAGGGATTATTTAGAAGATTTGTTGAATGAAAATGAAATTAAGTGATATTCAGCCCCTGTTCTGTCAATTTGTCCTACCTTGTCAGATTGTCCTACCTCTCATTCAAAAAGCAGGTAACACATTTTGATGACGCAATATGCTACCCATCAGATTTTGCTACCAGTGTCAATTTTAATGTGAAGTAGTGTGATATGAAGCTGTAATATTGCCCTAGCCTACCTAATCCCTAACCCCAATCTCAGAACCATTCAAATGCAGTGTTGGTACCATAATCTGATGGGATAAAAAATGTCAGGACACCGGTCAGAATCGACTCCTTTAGAAGATTCCTTTTTTCCATGCTGATTATATATAAATGTAACTTCCGTCTGCATATTTTGCATATTGATTTATTGTTAGCAGGGTTATTTTCCAAACTATTTACATGTGACTCAAACAGTTGCATATGACTATTATCCAAATGAGAGACTGTATGCAATATAAAATCGTGTCAGATTTTGCTGGTCTTTTCTCTGTCAGCCATCAGATGTTATGCCAGATGCTAGGCTTTTTGTGTGAGGCAGGATTACATGTGAGACTAGATGCACATGCACACTGGAGAGTGGATTACTGGAATATCTATAAGAGCAGAAAGGTCACAGGGAGCACAGAAAGCGTCCTTTATGATGAGTAAGCAAAGGCCTGTAGCTTCAGTTTGCTTAATGCAAATGAGCAGACACATTCAAACGGTCTCGTTTTGAACGCTTGACCTAGTTTTGGTAAACATTCATAAAACCGATGCATACGCAGATATAGCAGCCAGTAGCTTATGTTGTTGGTGTGAATTAGACAACCACAACAGTTCCTGTGAATATTACCCTCGTGTGTGTGTGTGTGTGTGTGTGTGTGTGTGTGTGTGTGTGTGTGTGTGTGTGTGTGTGTGTGTGTGTGTGTGTGTGTGTGTGTGTGTGTGTGTGTGTGTGTGTGTGTGTGTGTGTGTGTGTGTGTGTTTATAGTTTCATTTCACAAGAACTTGGCAATGTTCTTTCTCATTTTCTCGGCATGCCTTGGCTAACAGGAAAACTGCCATTTAGTAGTATAAGATGGCATATTATTGTCATTCTAACTGTATATCATTGGCGCTTTGCATTTTAAAGCTGAATTTGTTTAGTCAAGCCATGAGAAATTAAGCTGTATTACTTTTACACTCCACAAGGTGGCATGATAAATTAGCTTAAAGTCCTGGTAAATTTTACTTGCTGTGCTCTACTTTTAAAATATATACTATTGATAATAGTTTAAGGTTAACAATTTCTTCTCCTGTTAAGAAAAGAACTGGCTGTGCTCTTTATTAGATTAAGTCTTAAGTCTTTATTCTAATTTATGCTTCTTTTAACCACATTCTCATGCTTATCAACATGCTTATCAGTCAATCTCTTTGCAGACAAGAGCAGGCATACCATACTACGTACAGTTTAAGGAAATATCAAGCAGGTGTTTTCGTGACTAAGAAACCACATGAGATTTATTGAAGGATATGCGTACATTGTTTTAAACCACAGTTTGCCAACATAAAGGATGTATTCCTATGAGTTGAATGGATTATTTTAATATAAATTCTAAAGATGCTTTTAGGTTAACCTTTAGGTTAGGTTAACTTTTATTTCTGTTATGTTACGCAGCAGTTATGTTTTGTATATTTATCTGTTTGTCAGATTTTCAACCATGTATGTATGTCTAACCACCTGATTACCATTCTACCTACCTGTTTATTAGAGATGTGGCAATATAATTTAAGCTTAGCTTTTAAGAGTACATGCTACTCTAGTCAAATGTTTAAATGCACTCTAAAATGCCCATGATTTAGTCATTGAAGTTGGCTTTTTTGTCACTAAATAAATGTATACACAGCTCACTATGAACACTCTTGTAATTTGCTTTAAATCATAGGTCTCAAACTTGAATTCTGGAGGGCTGCATCTCTGTTTTGCTCCAACCCTAATCAAATACCGCTGATCAAACTAATCAAGGTGTTCAAGACTACTAGAGACTTAAAGAAGGTGTGAGTTGGAGGTAGTTGGCCCTCCAGGATTTGAGTTTGAGACCATTGCTTTGAACTTTGTGAAGTTTCACAAACTAATTTCGAGAGGAGCACAAGATATTATTGATCGTGGCTGGTTGCCCATCTGTAATCATTAGTAAACCAATCGGATTAATCTAAACTCACTATAAATAGCCTGTCTAGTATTACTCCCTTATCTTCGTATTTTGAAGAATCCCCCATCCACCCCATCTTTGCCTTTTCCTTCTTTACAAGGGGGAGCTCTCAAGAACTACCTGATCTCGTACCTAGTGGCGGTTCTAGCCCAGAATAATTGGGGGGCCTGGGCAGAGACATTTGCTAACGTAAAACTATGTACACTCAATGTCTGATTAATAATAGCCTATGCATAGCTGAGGACTTCATATATTAACAGTTTTAAACTCTCTCTTGGAAATAAAAGTCTAATGTAATCAACAGTGGACATTTTGATAGTTTTTCACAACATGAACATGACTTAAGTTGAATTTTTTTATTACTTGTGTCAATTTGGGACTTAACTTCTGATAAATGTGTGATGTGTGCAGCACCGTCACTGACAAAAGTCAAGGGAAAGCAGAGAGAGCGAGTGTGCACGACACCAAGAGTGCGCGAGAGAGAGGCCTCAGTCATATCTCCACACTCCACCGATGGCTGATCTCGCTTCTTCTTGGCGTTTTTGTTGTGACACAAAAATATGTGTTTAAATTTGGGGGGGCCAGAGGGGGGCCAAGCTTGTTGACACTGGAGTATCACCGAGCTCAGGGCTCTGTCCCGGGACAGCATGCAAAACCTTCTATTATTATCAAGCATTATCAGCTTCATAAAGCATCCTCAAAACCGATCATAGGACTTCAGTGATTCAATCAAAATATTATCAAGCTGCAAGAATGCTTTTGTGCATGCACAGCAAAAAATAACTCATTTATTTAAAAGTATTGTCTCTGCACTTATGTGTGCCATGCTTGGTCGCACTGCGGACATATACCTTAGATGGCCTATGCTTTGTTTTAAACAAAGGAAGTCATACAGTGCTCAGCATATATGAGTAGACCCCCCCCACAAATCTCTCATTTAAATTAATATTTTTAATAAAAAGCTTTACAATATTACATTTGTGCATATAGATTAGATTAATCAGTACTAAGGCCAAATCTGGAGCTTAACTAACAAAATAACTTACCATAATGGTCCAAAAATTAGTAGCTCAAATGTATATGTCAGGAAAAAATATTAAATACAAATTTTCATAAATAGCTTAATTCAAAAGAAACATAAGATATATACTATTTTGTTGAAATTTGGAAAAAATAAAATTGAAATATTTAGCTACAATTTAATTTTATTATCTTTCAGTTTCTAAAGCTGTTCTGTGACCAAAATATTATTATAGTAAATATTTTTAAGTAAAATGTTTTTTTGTTTGAATGCACCAAAATATATTACCCATATTCACTGAGAAATGAATAAAAATACCCATTTTCAAAATGAAGTGTACTCGTATATGCTGAGCACTGTACATCAGAGGACAGTACTTCTGCATGCGTGCCCTATACTGACATTGAAGAGAAGAAACTGTTGAAGTAATTATTTTAGTTTTATGTGTAGTCTTGCAGCTTCAAAATATTCCGATTGAGCCACTGAGGCCACGTAGACCATTTTGACTGTTTTTTGGTACCTTTCCAGACATTTAACAAGTTGGGACCATTGCTGTCTATGGAGGATGAGAGAGCTCTCTGATTTTAACCAAAATATTTTAACTTGTATTAAGAGGATGAACAAATGTCTCTGGGTTTGGAACAACATGAATGAGAGTAATTATTGACAGAATTTCTTTTTAGTGAACTATCCTTTTAAGGATTATTTTAGGTTCGAGTGGTGTGTGGGGACTATAGCTGTTTGTAAATTATACAGTACCATATGTTGGTAAAAACTAAAGTAATTTTTTTTCTCTTTTATATCTATCTATCTGACTGTCTGTTTGAAGCAGCTGATTGCTATTTCTCTGCATGTTGTAGGGCACAGTGTTCAGCCTGGATGAAGTGGAGGATCCTGGCGTGATCATAGCCGAGGACAGTAACGACATCTATATCCTGTCAGGTGAACAGGCCTCAGATCAGCTCAGCCCTCCTGCTTCACTGCTGACTCTCGGAGACAGTAGTGAACCAGCTTCCTGGCAGACGGAGAGTCTTCCTGTGTCTCTGACGGGACACGAGTCTTGGGCGCAGGTCAGCATGATGGACCCAGAAGACGTCAAGAGTCTGGACAGCGCTGAAGGAGTGGCGTTGGCTGAGGAGCAGAGCGAGAACAACTCCTCGAACTCTGACATAGTGCATGTGGAGCGTGAAGATGCTGAGCTGCTGGAAGAAGCTGGAGAGACGGTGGAGGAAGGAGAGCTGCAGAGTAGCGTACTCAGTGTTCTGGGCAGTGAGAGCGAACTCGCTGCTGTCCGAGAACAAGAGTCTGCTGCACCTGAGCTGCTTGCAGAACCGGTGGTGATGGAGATCCCTCCCCCTCCTTCTCCTCCTCCTCCTCCTCCTCCTCCTTCAGCATTGGCAGAGCAAGAGCTCCCGCCTGTCCATGCTGCTGTTACAGCCTCAATCCCCGTGCCTGAGCCTGAACTTCAGTCTCAGCCTGTTCCAGCTCCTGTGGAGCCACCTCCATCATCCCCACCTGAACCCGAAGCAACCCTGGAGCAAGAGATTCTTTCAGAGGTTGAGCTGAAGACCTCCTCCCGATCTCCAGACCTCCCAATCCCAAGTCCTGCGGAGGTGCAGACCACGTCAGTGCCACAAGCCGAGTCCGCCGAGCTCCCCGTGCTGCTATATGGCGGTGCTGCCCTGGTGGCTGTCGCTGCAGTGTTGGCCTTCGGAGCTCTAGCCTACAGGAAGAAGTAGAAAGTCCTTGACTGTCCATGACCTCGCTGTATCTCTTGCCCTGTGGTTAACGTGCTGCCACAAGCTGCACTTTATGGGAAAATAAGTACTCCTCTTATTTGTGTCATACTAGTTTGTTTTCCGTTCTCATTGCTTTTATTCTTAGGCGTAGTTCTGGAAACCAGCTTTATGGCTGGACGGGAACTTGCAGGTGCAGATTCAGGTTTCTTTCATGCTGTATTTGTGAACATTGGAGTGACCCGTTTCATGGGCTGCGACTGAGGTTTTGCCTGGATCCTTAATATTAACTAAAGAAACATCAAGGCTTCTGAATTATAAAAAAACAAAGGGATAGATCACCCAAAACACAAAATGAGCCGTTAGTTTATTCACCTGCAGGACATTCAGGTTATAGCTGATTTTTTTGTTCTTTAGTTGATCATTAGAGAAAGTTTTTAGCAGAAACTAGTTCTTGGTTCTTCATAATACACAAGTCAATGCTACTAGCACTTTAGCAGTCTAAAAAACATGACATTCACTGGCAAAATAAAATTAATACTTGCAGCTCCTGATGATACATTGAGGTATTATGAAGCAAAACAATCTATCTTTGCAAAATACCTTTAATCCACAGGCTCAGCAGACAGGTCCATTCACAATATATGATATTGTACAAGCTCATGTGACTCATGAACACTCAGATCTGTCTGCTGACAATTAAAGTAATCTTAGTGAAATAATATTCCATTTCTCACACAGAACAATCATGACGTTTGTTATTTGTTCATACTATTTATTTAAAAAATAAAAACATTTTTTGGGGACAACTTAATTTTTTAAGTTCAATCGACTTACATTTGTAAAAACTAATAAGCTAACTTAATTCCTTTGTTTTCTCAACACAAATAGAATGTGTGGAACCCGAGATTTTGTTTACAGTCTTTATCTTCAGAAGCCACTGGTATTCATTTGTTTTGCTTGAATATGCTTGGTTTTTTTTTGTCTTAAAGTGTTGTAGCTGCTGCATATTATCAATCACCACGAACAGTTTCAGCTCAAAATCGATTTCAGTATTCTGTATTGTAACCTGAGGGTGAATAAATTCTATTTGTTTTATGTTTGGGGAACTATCTCTTATGTTTTTTATGAGTGAACTGTATGTAATTTGATTTAATGAAATATTGTTTGGTTTTACACTAGTTTGGGTTTGTGCATAATTGATTATTTAAAAAAATAATAATTAATTAACATAGTTTTTATTTTACATTCTTATGTGATACAAGAGATGTTTTAGCACAATGCTTTCTTGGTGTGTGACACAATCCTCTTACTCCACCCTTTTATCCAACAGTCAATCACATTACATCATTAGTTAGACGGCCAATCAATAATTAAATCTCATTTTCATTTCAATATACTGTAATTAACCACACAAGAAATATTTACCTTCACCTTTAAAAACTCTCTCTATTGCACTGGAAAAATAACATATTCACCATCATCAGTCACTTGAAGAGTTTAGTTGCGAAACCCTCTAAATGCCATCTGAAAATTTTCCCTGAAATTACCATTTTTATCAGGCTCATTTGTGTATGTTCAGTAATGTCACTTTTATGGTAAAGATTTCTCAACATAAACAAAGGAGGCTGCGAAAAAGGTTTTATTTTCGATGGAAATTTCAGACGGCACTTCAAGGTTTTTGCATCTGAGCTCTTCGCTCATTCGTATCTACGTCAGTGCAATGCATAGATGTATATATCTATGAGTGCAATGAAATTTCGACACTCCAAAACATTAAAAACACATTTTCATCTCATTAGTTGTATCATTAGATACTCAAAATCCATGATTTACAATATTATAGCTAAAAACCATTTAGCCAAAAACACAGAAAGGTCCAATTCCTCATTCATTCCTCCTGGTGTGAGTGATTTTAATTTCTGAATCCAGAACGCTTTTCTAGTTGTTTAAAGTCAGGTCTGTTTTGTATCACCTAAGAATGTAAAATAAAAACTATACAAAGTAATTATTTAATGAGTGCGATAACCTTCTGAATAATATTATTGACAAGATTACACACCGAAAAAATGAAAAAGAAAAAAAAAACTGCGAGTGAGCAGTGAAATTTAATTTCTGAATATTTTACCTCAGAAATTAAATATTGAGGTGCGGAACTTTACAGGCCAGAATCAGATGGATTGCATAAGTGATATTCATCTTACTAAATCAGTATTTCTACAGTCAAAATTAAAGTCTCAACGCAATATTGATTGCTTAATAAACCGTCTGTTATTCATATTAACAATATTTACTGTAAAAATAGAACAAGTTGCTCATATGAATGCTTTTGTTTGAATTCCCCTTTTTAAAAAGACTAAAAAGGAAGCCTGGGTCACAGCCTGTCGGAAAACCCCATCTCTATTAATATGTTCAAGGGATTGTCGATGCTAATTGTACAGAAATCTGCTATAATGTGAACATTTATCCTGTTGAGGTTGAAAAACTTTTTATTTTTTAGCATTCTTGTAAAGAAATCAATATTACACCAGCACAATCAACAGAGCACATGACCGAATTTATCTCGGCATCAGGAATCAGAACATCACACTAGACAGGAGAAAGTCATATTTAGTTTTCTAATATGATATTTCTAAGCGAGCATTTTCTAATTCTGGGTCGATAGTCGTTTCAGTAAAATGACAATATTATAAAACATGAAATGGTTGGGTTTTAAACCTCCACGTTTTCCAGAACAACCGAATGGGTTTTGTAATTTTTAGAATAGAAAATGATTTGCTGTGTTAGAAAATATGAATCTGTCTTTTCCAATTAAGTGCTGACTTCAGGTTTGGGGGACCAGAATGTCTCTTCAATGTCTTCTGAGCTACAGATGAGTCATTTAGTTCTCTTTGTCCCCTAACATATTGTCGATCTTCAGTCTCTTACCATGTGCTGTTGTTTGTCTCTGTACAGCACAGCCTTGCCACTCTGCTTTCCCCTGTTGTGTGCCTATCCAAAAAAAAAAAAAACAGGCAGAAGCAGAAGTCACGTCTACAGGCAGGAGACACCTGTGTTGTCAGTGGTTTGCAATCTCACGGCAAAGTGATTTTGTATCAATAGATGGACAAAAGCTGTGAATTAAAACTTTATTCCATCAAGAGTGAAACTGTTGATTTGTGTTTTGATTTAGGTCTGAGTTTTTATGATTAGTTTCTGCTTTTATTAAACTTACAGTGCCGCTTCCTCTTTTAGTATTGATATGACTCATTTGTTTTTGTAAGAGATGAGATGGTTAACCATATGACGCCTTTTATAGCCTCAGTTTTGGTTTGACTTTTGGTTCAATAAACACACAAATAAGAAACACGTGAACAAGAAGATTTAGGAAGATTAAATGAACCTAATAAAACAATTTTGCAGTTTTTATTGGCCATTTTATGTCCCAGGAAGTTTCTGTGCCTGACGATCGGGTTGTCGTCGTCACAATGCACAATGCACTGGCCCCTTACAGCTCCCCTGCAGGTGGTGGGGAAAAGGTGGTTTTTCCATATCCAGCTTTTAGGAAAGTTCTTACCCCAGGTGAAGATCAAATATCTTGTTTTTTTTTTCACCAGTGAAGGAAGGATGAAGCGTGAGATTTACAGGCGGAACGGTGCAGCAGCAGTAATGCGGTCGGTGTATCAGTTCGTTGTGGTAAAGAAGTAGCTGAGCCGAAAGGCAACGCTCTCGATTTAGTGGTCAGACTATGTTCCTACTCTCACCTATGGTCATGAGCTTTGGGTCATGAACGAGAGGACAAGATCTTGGATACAATCGGCCGAAACAAGTTCCCTTCACAGGGCGGCAGAGCGCACCCTTATAGATAGGGTGAGGAGCTCTGTCACCCGGGAGCAGCTCGGAGTAAAGCCGCTGCTCCTCCACATCGAGAGAAGTCAGCTGAGGTGTCTCAGGCATCTGTTTCGGATGCCTCCTGAAAGACTACCTAGGGAGCTGTTCCAGGCATGTCCCACCGGGAGGAGACCTCGGGGAAGATCCAGGACGCGCTGGAGAGACTATGTCTCTTGGCTGGCCTGGGAATGAATCAGGATCCCCCAGAGGAGCTGGAGGAAGTGTCTGTGGAAAGGGAAGTCTGAGGTTCTCTCCTAAGAGAGAACTGCAACCCGGCCCCGGAAAAGTCGATGAAAATGAGTTTTGGAAACAATCGTTTCATCTACTCAAAATGTTTGCCGTTGGTTCAAAATACTTCTTTAAAATGAGCTGGAGCAAAACAATTATTGAGTTTTATTTTGGGACTACTTGTTTTATGTACATTTATTTTCCTTTGGCTTAATCCATTTATTCATCAGGGGTATCCACAGTGGAATGAACTGCCAACTTATCCAGCATATGTTTTACACAGCGTATGCCCTTCCAGCTGCAACCCAGTACTGGGAAACATCCATACACACTCAATCACACACATACACTACGGCCATTTTAATTCATCCAATTCACCTATATCTCTAAAGAGTGGGGGAAACCAGAGCACCCGGAGAAAACCCACACAAACACAGGGAGAGCATTCCAACTCCACACAGAAATGCCTACTGACCCAACCAGGATTCAAACCAGCGACCTGCTAGCCACTATGCCCCCTTGCTTTATGTTCAATCCACTTAAATTTGTAAAAACAAATTAACTTAATTCCTTCATGTTTTCTCAACACAAATATAGTGGAAGTACCCAACATTTATAGTGTGGATGAGAAACTTGTTACTAAATAATAAATGAATTCAATCTTACTGAAAGCAAATTTGTTGTGATGACCTTAAAAAAAAATCAATTCTTTTTGTGCATTTTGATCAACTTTTTTTCAAGAATTGTCTTCTTTAACTCTTTAACTGCCTGCTCTATCAAACGGTTGACCATATTTTAACTATCTTAAATAAAGTTTTAAATGATGGTGTACACTACACCGCATTGTTGGTTTACAAAAAATATCACTACTACACTTGATTTTGGTTTTATTGTAAAAAAAAAAAAAAAAAAAAAAAAAGAATGTTAAATGAGAATCTAAAGTATTTTGTCATATTTCAAAGTATAAAGATGATTTAGTATTCAAAAAATGTTTTATTTTGATTATTTTTAAAATAAACTGCATGGTCTTACACTTCATATTTTCTGATTTTTGTAACATTAATTCATTGAATATACTGGGGTAAAATATATTGCTCATATTATAAGGATATGGCGGGGGAAATGTAATTTAATGCAGTGCTTCTTGTAATCAATCTGTACAATCTGAGACCCACTTTAAATCGGATATCACTCAGCTTGTGGAGATCGCTGATTTTGAAAGAAAACAGACCTTAAACGCACCGGATTTTGCATTGGCATTCAATTCGCCGGAAACGCTTAATTTTAAAGGAACCTTATAAGGATAAAGGAACCTTATAAGTATCTCAGAATATTACACAGCACCAAAAATATAAAAATATATATTGAATATATTTAATATATTTTTGTCAACAGCAGACGGCAACTCGCCCTGACGCAGATTCCCGATTATCTGTGATCCAATCAGGTGAGCCCTCCTCAGCACTCGCCATGACAACGAGACAACAGTGACGTGCCTTGTAAAAATTTGCATATGCATTCCTATAAAGCTCGTGTGCTCTCTGTCAGCGTTGTCAGTTCGCCCGGTGTTGCTGCTTGTACTTGACCAAGGTGAGTTCAATACCGACGGTACGAGTGGAGCTACGCCAAACTCACGAAGTCCGCTTCGTGATGCTTCACCCGGGCCCGTCTGTGCTGTAGTTCCTTGCGGTTTGCGTACATAAACGCAATATCGCGAAGAACATTACGTGTTTGTTGCTCGAAATGTGCCGCCGAGCAACATCCAGTGAATACTGGCACGGCCTGGCGCCCGGTCTTTCCGTGCACTCCCTGGGGCGAGGCGGCCTTTGAGCCCTAGGCAGGGAGCAAACAACCCCCGAGGACCCTCAGGGAAACACGGGCGGCCGGTAGTGGGACCTCGCTGCGAGGGTTATGGTGGGTGGGAGTAGCGAGGCCCACTCATCTTCTATTTTAAACTATAGTTTCAAACTTTAGTTTACTATAGTTTGAAATAGAAACCATGGTAACTGTT